ATATGTACACCCAGAGATTTGACTGAGCTAACTTGTTTAATTATGTCACCACCTATGATTAGTTTAGGGGAAGTATCGTAGGTACCTATCCTTTGCCGCGATCCAATTAACATGAATTCAGTTTTAGATGAATTTAGAGTCAATTTGTTTGCAGTGAGCCATGTGTTAACATTGGATAGGTCGTGATTCATAACATCATTGATCATTTCTATGTTGTTACTGGCAAAGGTCAGGTGAGTATCGTCGGCATACATATGTGCAACTGAATTAGACAGGCAATTAGGAAGATCATTTATGTATAGAACAAAAAGCAAAGGTCCTAGAATTGTTCCTTGCGGAATTCCACAAGTGAGAACTTGACTAATTGAGAGCGAACCATTTATGAAACATTGTTGATTGCAATTATCTAGGTATGACCTAAACCATTCATAAGCGATACCGCGGATACCATATTCTGTTCAAATTATTTCCTCAATGCATGATTTCCCTGTCCAATCTTTCCACTATAAAAATAAATTCTCTTGTGAAGTTAACGGAGGCAACTTTCTGAACTGATATTGAGACTTGAAGAAAGGAAATAGAAATAGGAAGTCTGGAAAACAACAAACAATGAAACATACTAAAAGCAAAAAGTACTATTGGAAAAATAAAAAACCACCTGACAAGTTTTTAACTCTACTGATATTAATATAAATTAAGATATTATATATTTCAATAAAAAAATAAAATAAAAAGATTAAAAATATATATGTATAAAAAGTAAAAAATAAAAAATAAAAAGTATATATACATATATATCTCCAAATCATTTAACTATAGAGAACTGATTTGCAATTGCCTCGTGCAGTATGCATACCAGTTGCACATTTCCTCATGGATCATTTATTGACAAGAATTTGGCTATACATTAAAACAAACCCCTTTAACTGACATGTTTGTCATGTTTCTCTATTCCTGTCAATCATTTAGTACAAATTATGTCAGTGTTTTGCAAAAAAATGAAATGGTGGTCACCTCAAGAAGTGAAACAGCTAAGAAAAAATAAATCTTTAACTTGAATCAACGGGAAGGAACCATTACTACGGTTATATATATCTCAGGTTATATATATCTCAGGTTATATACCATGGTTATATATATCTCAGATATCTAATAATTTAGAGTGTAGTCAGTTTGCATTGTCTCACATCTTGTTAAGCACTGGGAGGAGAATCAACCTATTTTTTTCATGTATCTTTAATTCATAAACATGGATGTCTCGCTTGAGAAGTAAACAATATTTTTCTATTTAACATGTACAAGCAGATGTCTAAATTGCTTTTGACTTCCCACAAAAAAAATATAAATTCTGAGGGAAATGTGATAAGACAAAAATCTAACTGACGCGAAGTAACAAAACAAACAGAGACTACTTTTTCAGTGGTAAATATTTGAAAATAAAGTCAAAACTGCCACACACACTTTTGTAAACAGTCTCACCCAGAATCAAAGCATAATTCATATACATAAATTAAAATAAAAAGCCATATTGTTTTCTTTTCCAAAGAGTAAACCTGTACTTCAGTGTTGAATGTACAGCATTTTATACACAAAAAATATTACTGATGGAAGTGGAATAAACAAAAACATCCCAATACAAAACTATCTCAAGGATGAGGTTAATTAAAAAAAAAAATATCATTCATCAATCGCAAAGCAAAGGAAATGGCACTTCAACAAAAAAATTAATTAATCTTTCGATCATTAACTGCTGACAAGAAAAGCACAATATTTTCTCTACCGTACGGTATCCTTGGAAATAAACAAAAAGCCACAGAAACAAATTATGAAGAGCTCACGAATCGGATGAAAGAAAATGAAAATATTGAAAGACCGCAATCCTAGGGCGTTAAAGTGAAATTATAGAGTGCGAGTTCTTACCTTAAGTGAAATATTGCAGTGTTCCAAGAGCTCCAGTAATATTATCAAATCCGATGAATCTTCGATGGTAAATCGGGCTTCGAGGTCAAAAACTCCACCAACAAGCTAAAATGCGAGAAAAAAATTGTCATTAAAATCTGTTGTTTGATTGATCACTAACTGAAAACAAAATGACCGGTAATCAACATCACGCGCGCGGGTAAATATGCGGAAGAACACGATATTTGATTCTTTATCTAGGATGTAAATTTAATTTTTTCGTATTAAATTCGCGTTCAACCAACTTGGATCCCGACACAAAGCTTTGCACTTTTGGTGAAATTTAAATCTTTACACAGCAGTGCACAGTAAAATTAGTCCTCAAAGGATATTAAAATAAAAATATATTTCCTCACCGAATCAAAAACAGTGTCCACAACTCTCTTATAATCAGTTTGTTCCTCAGCTTGTGTGGCCAGATCGATCAGTCGTGAGAGCTTTGTACGAGCCGCGATGCTTACAGCATTTAGGGATCTTTCCATTTCGTAGTTCTTTCTGTCTCCGCTTTCATTGTTCTTTTTCTGAACAAGGAGTTGATCCGTTTCAGAGCGGTTAGTTGGTGACAAGCCAGGTGAATCCGCCATGTTGGTTCATTCTTAGTGCAAATGCGCATGTTCGCTAAGATGGCCTCGTTTTCGTTATCAGCTGATCCTAGCGTCTTTTGTTGCCAAGCGTACGCGAAAGTCAAAGCGTGTTTGTACTCCATTTATTTCGCTGTTTTATTTCTACTGTTGGCCTTGATTCCTCTATAAATAGTCTTACTGGGTTTTCTGTCGTTGTTTGATGCATCTAGTTTGTTTTGGTAAGGATCTGACTTTTTTAAAATGCCCGCGCCGCGCTCGAAGGTAAGGAACTCATTATATGGTCAACTGCGCTCTTTGTTGTTGTTGAACATAAACTTTCCTCCGAACAGAAATTGTTTTAAGATCGCTCATTTTTCGCAATGATCTTTCACGAGGTTATATCTATTGATTTAAAAGCATTAAGAACTTCAAGGTATGCTGTGTATGAACATTAAAACATGTTTACCATTTTCAATATATTTTAATTAATATTGTGTTATGACTAAACCTTCGACTTTTCCCACACAGTATGATCTTTCCCAAGGCCGAAAATAATTATTCTTGAATATCTTATGCGTAAAATCAATGTAGCGAACACTTTTTATTTCACCAATTAACGTCCTTGCAATTGGATTGTGTCCGGAGTGAAGTTTGACTTCGTAATTGGATTAATTTTCAACAGAAATTAAGCTAATTGGATTATTTTTAATAACGGTGACAGGAGAAATTTGCAAAGTTTATGTGAAGACTTGACAATTTTCATATCTAGTCTGAATGTGAACATTTGATGGGTAGTTATGCTGTTATTCCGGAGTTTTTTTGTTCTTTTGAAGAATAGAGATGACTGTGAAGGCAATTAAATTTTAACGTGTGCTCTTATGTCTTTCTGCTTGCTATCTAAGTTAAAAATAACAAAAAGAAAACTTGTTTTCAAGCATTTAAGTTTCTGGCAATGAAGGAAATTTGTATAGTAGCAATTCTCTTCATTAGAAACTGCTCCATTAATGAACCCATGACTTTACTTTGTACTGTTACATTATACTGTGGCTGTTTTACTTCTTGCATTGTACATTAATTAGGCATTACTAATTGCATATAACATTTTCAAGGACTCAAATGAAGAACTATAGCAACATTGATCCATGAAAGAATCTGTGTAATACATTGTTTTACGTGGACTGTATTTAAAGTTTGTTTGTTTGTTTGTCTGATTGGAAATCTTAACAAGACAATTTACCTTGACCTGGGCAAATCATATCTTAAAATCTCCTGCAGAGATATGAATCAGAGTACTTTTCACATTACAAGCAATTTGAGGCTAAACGTCCTGATACAGTTAAGGGTGAAGTAACAAGATCAGTGACCAAGAGCAACATGTACAGTAATGGTTCAACACCAAGGGCAGGCCTACAGTCCAGTAAGCTGGGTACTATTCATGAACCTCCACTTCAAAGAAAAAGAATTGTGCCATATGAAAAGAACCACAACATCTTCGCAACTTTTACTGTTAAAGAGCAGAATGATAGAGACTGGTTAAAGTCTGGTGGAGAATTGCACAGGTCCCGTTCATATCACAGACAGCACAAAGAGGTGAGTGTTAGATGCCCTTTCACTGAGGAGCAGCACATTGTAAAGGAAAAAAAACAATTATTTGTGATGTAGAGACTCTTGTTTGAGACAAAACTAATACTCCCCCGTCCACATGTATCCGGATATTTTCGAAAACGGAGACTTTTTTCTCTGTATTCGAAAACATCCGCATCCACACGAACAGTATTTCAATTGTATTTGCCCTTCCACACGTAAACGCAAAAACATTACAAATATGCTAGACTTCACATAAGGAGCATGCACAGGCTACTACCGCATGCACCTTGTGATAAGAATAAAATGTAAATGCAGAAGCAGAGACCAATATAATGTAGATAAGTTTTTAGAGAGAGTAAGCCCTCAAAAATCAAAGAGTTTTCTGCCATCTTTGTTTGGGTTCTCCTCTTGTGAGTTTCTCGACTTTGTTTTTGTAATTCAGGCCATTAAAATGCCAAATTCTTCCAAAAAGATATGTAATGAAATGCCAGAATCTTCCAAAAAGGCAAGTAAATCGAAAGGGAAAGGGAAGATGAACTTGTTCATGTGGTCAGACGATGAAGTTGACGTCATGGTATTCGAAAGCCTTCGTTTTCGACCGTCTACACGAATACAATAATTCTCGTCTTTAAAAATCTACAGTCTGGAGATCGTATTAAAAAATCTCCATATTTGTTGCCAAAAACACCGTTTACATGTGGACGAGAAGTGCAAATGGAGAAAAAAATATCTGTTTTCGAAAATATCCGGATACAGTTTCTCTTTGAGGTTGGTATAATCATGAATTGAGGGTAAAAGTTTCTAAAGAAACTGTGGTGCTGCTTTGGTAGGGGACTAACAAGGTAATTTGGTTATATCAACTAAGTTTAAATTGTAAATTGGCCACCATCACAAGTTAAAAAGCTGATGTTTTGAGCATTAGTTCCTCATCTTTCACTCTGATGTAGGGTTAACACTCAAAACATCAGCTTTTTAACTCGTTACAGTGGCCAATTTACGATTTCAACTTAGTTGATATGAGCAAATGATCGTGAATTGGCCAGATATCAGGAAATTTAAAGGAAATAACTGTCAGTAGATAAACCTTGATGAGAAAATATGAAAAAATATCGAAAGACCATTATTCCAAGAATAATTTCTATTATCTACCATCCACAATTTCAAAAATAATAATTTGCTTAATGTCAATTTTCAGTGGTATTCATTTTTATTTTCAGGAAAAAAGTACAAAGGCTGCAAGAAGTTCAGTATTAAACAGAAGTGAAACACCAATCCTTGCAGCTGAAAGAAAGATTTTTCATGATCAAGAGCAGCATGGAAACAGAAAGCAGCCAGTTTATGTGCCAGACAGAATCAACAGGAAAAGCACTTATAAACTGGATTATGTGGATTATGAGAAACAATCTAAGTCACCTAAAAAGAGCAAACCCAGAAAACAGCAGAGTCCACCAAAGGTAGTGGGGGGAAAGAAAGGAGGTGAGAGATGACATGCTGTGCCCCTGATGGGTGAAAATAAAATTACATCATACCCGCTTATTGTGGGGTTTCTACATTTTTTACACATGCATCCATTGTCTTGAATGAAGTTAAATTTAAAAATCATTATCATAATGAAGATTTTATGAGTGGATTAATCCAAACATACATGCATAGACATCTATGCCTCATTGCAATATTTTTTCTATTGTTATTACCTGTAATTTTATCCTACACAAATAGGCCATTTTACAGTTGTGTACTTAGTTGCCAAGCCTTTGATTCAGAGTGAGGCTAAAGGTGACCTTGTTGTGATAGAGACCTGTATCCAGTTAGCATGATAACAAAGTGATTTACATTTGAAAGGCAGCAAGGTTTGTATCATAACAAGGTCACCCCTAGCCTCACTCTCATTCAAAGGTTTGGGATCTCTCATCCACCCCTCTATTGCTCCAGGGGGCAGGAAGATGAGAGACCCTGGGAACGAGGTTGGAGTTTTCCAATTTACGATACAACGCATACTCGTAATTGCAGGTCATTACTTGCAATGTAAACATCTTTTATTCAATCAAAGTCTGTAAACTCATTTGCTCTGGACACGATACAGTACAAAGAGCAATTACTTCTATGCTTCTGTGCTTCCATTCTTTCCAACGGTCAACCTTTGCCAATTTTACACGTGTCCGATGACACTTTTTCTTTTTTCCACAGATGTCAGCCCAGATCGCCTTCCACCTGCTGGGATCAGAAGAGCCACAAGTATTGGTGACACACGACTTTTAAGGCCTTCAGAAGATTGCCAGTACTTAAGGTCACCAGAGCGCCAACAAAAGTAATTTTATTTATTATACTTCCCAGCTGATGCCCTGCTGATGTGGTCACTCCACAGCTTGCGCACACCGTAATCCCCAATCAACACTTCAAGAGAGAAAACAGTCCAGAGGCTCGTTTCTCGAAAGTCTCTGTGGCTTAACGGGCCCGAAGCCATGTTTTAAAATCAAAATTTAAAGGATAGGAAAGCAGGTTCTGGCACCCAAACCAGTCTTTTTTGTTTCTCTAGCTGATAGTTTTATTGTATGATTTTCAAACCTTTTGAAATCCCCATCTTGAATGAAAACAGAACAGCTTTAGGGGTCCGTTAAGTTACCCAGGGTCCACTTGTTTAAAGGGCGGATAACTAGCTATCCAACGGATAAGTGCGAACGAAACGTACTTCGCTATCCATCGGGTAAGGATTTATCCATTGATTAGCGTTCTCCACTCTTCACACAACCGAGGCCAGATCTGAAGCAACCTCCTTCAATGCAAATCCTGTGCATCCACATTTTTTCTTCAAAATTGTAGAGGTACTGGTTCTGATCAGTAGGTAACGATTTTAGTCGTTTACTCTCACTAGCAAGGACACCGTAGATTTAGATTCATTGATTTTTTTTTTTTCAATTGAGTGTTTTACGAGTAGAGTCTTTACTTAGAATGTTTTTGTTCAGAACTTGTTGTTATCACGTTTTTTGCTGTATAATTGTTCATGTCCTCATGAAAGATGACCGCTCCTTTTTCACGCGCTCTATTTTCTGTTTCAAGAGTTTTTGATTCAGAGTATTCAAGCCGTTTTGTTCAGCCAACAAAGTTCAAATACGTAGATGGATTATGGATAGAAACTCCCATCAGCACGGAGGCAACTCATAACGTAAAGGTAAGTGGAAGACTGGTACGAGTGAATGGACTTCTTAGATATCATTGCCTGAGGTACTTTAAGCAGTAAAGCCAGGAGGGTGCCTCATTTGAGAGGCGTAAAACTAAAAGCAAACTTATCTCGTAGCTAATTAGAAAAAGAGAGAGCAAAATTGAGTTCGATGTAGACGCAACAGCCTTCCCCGGATTTCAGGGGGGTTTCCTTGAGAACTGAATTAACTAAGTCGAACTCAGGGGCGAGAAAATGTGGATTTCTACGTTGTCATTAGATTTAAAGAGGGTACCCTGAGTTTCTAAAGAAACTGAAGACGGGCTTACTCTCGAAACGTCACCTTTTTAGTGGGGCTCCCACGCGCGCGTGGGACAGAGCCCCATACCCATGGAATATGGTCAACCTCTTTTCGTTTGGTTGTCACGTGACTGACCGAGCGTACGTTCGTACGTGCATTCAGATTGCACGGGTAGGGTAGGGGAGACCATCAAAACGAAGGGAGGGGTATCTCAGGCGAGTCTTGGCAAATGCACATCTTTTATGTTGTCATTAATATTACGAACTTGGGAGCTTCGCTTTTAGGCTTGGCTAAATCTATATGTTAACTCTTTACAGTGGCCAATTTACTTTATCAACTCAGTTGATAAAACCAAAATTACCTTGTTACCCCCACTGACGCAGCACCACAGTTTCTTTAGAAACTTACCACCTTTTATTTATTTTTTTTTTCGCTCTGACGAAGGGCTAACGCTTGAAAGGTCAGCTTTTTAACTCTATACGATGGCCAATCTACAATTTCAACTCAGTTGATAAAACCAAATTGTCATTAGAGCTTATTTGGAATCTGATTGGTCGAAAGGAGTACGCGTATTGCGCTTATTGCCCGTCATACTGCGGGTTGACTGGGACAAAAACCTATCTTGGAGTATGGTCGTTTTAATTTCCAATTCCTCTGAAATGAAAAACGAAACTGTAACAGTGATCGAAGTAATCTTACTCTTGTCCCTCCTCGTTCTTCCCGCGGCTGATGCGACTGTAGACCATACAGTGGATTTTTAGAGGCTCTAGTTTCTACAAACTCTGAGCCGGGGATCAACAGACCTTTCAGTCTAATTGAGAACTCAATTTCTTAGAATTGAGAGTTGTTCTTAATTATTTTTTTTTTTCTAGGATAAACAGAAGGATACGCCAGATTGGTTTAATCAGGTGATTTTCCTTTGACCAGCTGTTCATTTGGTTACCTTTTTCTAATGATTCACAGCTAATCTTAAGATCTTACGTTCCATGTAGTTTGTTTCCAGAGTCTGATCAAGTATTCCATTTTTCAGGTTCTTCATCGTCGTAATGAGGCCTATGGTTACGCGCACAATGCGCGAGGAACGCATTTCTCTCGCGAGAGCCTTGATGAAATCAACAGAGAGCAGCAGGTAGAACGCGCAGGTTCTCTTTCCTCAGCTGAGGAAAGGAGCAGAAATGATGCAACACACCCACGATCCAGAGCAAGAAGCATGTCGCCACCACGAAGACGCGAAGCGTGGGCCGAAGAACGTTCTCGCTCTCCGACAGATTCCGAAGACAGGCGAGCGGGCTCAGGAACGGACGCAACATCTGATGATGGGACCGACATGGTTCTTGAGCGAGGTCGATCTCCGACTCCAGAACTTCGAGATACCCGAACTGCTCGACGGCACCACCTCGATGTTACGACTAATATCTTGAACGACAGCTTTGAGAAGTCTGTATCGCTTTCGCGGAAAACGAAACCTCCTTCACAGGGCGACAACAAGCCCGGCCGGAATGGCTTTAGCACACCTCCTAGAGAGGTGAGGGCGGCACGCTCCCCCAAGGAAGAGAAGGAAGCTCGTCCTGTCAGCCCGGCCGCCTCGAGTGTGGGTTTGGGAGCTGATGCAAGGTCCTTCACACCCATCCGCAAGGTAGAAATATCCCCGCCTGATCCCCGTCATGTCAGTCCACCGGCTAGCGTCGGGGGTAGTGAGAGGGGAAGAGATGATGACGTGTTGTCTGTGTCTGCGATGTCGAGTCGTGCGTCAACCGCATCGGAGACACTTGAACGAGCCAGGAAACGGCGAGACGAGTTTTGGAAACGAGAAAATGGGCCAAGATAGGAAGATACACCGAAAACTGAAAACGATAGAAGTACAAATGCCTAGTTTTGATACATGTCTAAGTAGAGTAACTCCTTTGTCCACTAAAATTTCATTTAAATCTGTGAAAGCAGTTTTTTACCAGTTAATTCTTAGAAAATCGTTTCTTAATGAATCGCACCCAAATAATAAGATCACATCTGTCTTGGTAAAAACACGTGAATTACTTTTTATAGCACTTCTTGTAGTCGAAAGTGCTTCCCCCAGTGTTTTTTTTTATACGTGGTTTCAAACGATAGGTTTTTTTAATTATAAGCTTTAAGTAAAAAAAAATTGTAAATGATTAAAAAACAACGTGATTCTCTGTCTATCTGTTTTGCACCAGAGCGTGAAGTGTAAACATATTTTCAATGATTGTCATCCACTGTCCACTGTTTTTGTCAGTGGAGACGCGTGATGAGGATTAAAGGCCGAAAGTGGGAAACACAATGTAAGTGTGGTTGTTTGACGATTGACAAAACGGGAAGTTAATGAAGTGTTGTGCGCCTTAGTTGAATTCAGACAAACTAAAATGAAATGCACGGATAACAAAATTCCGCTTTGTCGTTGGACGTGATCTGTTTAAACAAAGCATTAAACTAATTAAATACAACTTCGAGAGATTTCTTCCTTAGACGATGGATTTCAAAACAAAAGGAGATTACCTCTTCTGCTTTAATTAAATATCGATTCTTTGCGATTAGCTTGCTAAACACTGAACTTGAAAAGCATAGAAAGACATCCAAACCACTCGCGTGAATTGAGAGAAAAGGGAACAACGCAGGAGATGAGTTTCCTGTTACTATAAAAAAAAAAAAAACTGGATCGTGGCATTAACACAATATCGACATGAAGTTAACTTCCCGCAGCTTACCGAAGCTCTATCCAGTGAAGGAGACGACTAGACGCAAACAATTGTTGACCAAACATAATGCAGGTAGAATAACATAATCAACACGGTCTTGAGTTAATTCAGTTCGTTTGTAAGAAGTCAAATTCTAAAATGCTTATCAGGTATGCAGCGCGCATGGAAATCCTTAACCTGTAGTGGGAGTCAATGCACAGAATGCAAAGTGCTTACGCAGTACCTCTCTCGGTAAACTGGTCCAGGATCCGGACATCCACTTTGAATACACTTCATGACCAAAATTGTGTGAAATTTTATTAGATGGAGCCGGTCAAATCGAAAAACTTCCGACGATCTCGATCTCTCTTCAACCCTCGACTGAGCAACCCTCGAATGGAGTAAACAGAAACACTGACATTCACAAAGGTAATCAACTTTACGATGAAGCTATAAACTTTTTAAAAATGCAAATTTCAACACGGCTAGAGTGCAGAACTAAAATTTCAGTAATGCACTTTTTAACATTTCCTTTAGACACAGCTGGAAACAGTGCAGCTTGTACTTTTCCTCAACCGCCATCAGTTGCAGCTATGACAACAACATTTCGAGAAAGTTATCAAGGATTGTACGCTCCTCCTGCTCCAAGCACGAGCTACGTGGAGCTCCAGTTTCATGCCCTACCCCTCTCCCCCTTCGTTCTCCATCCCTGGCGAACTCTAACGCACTGCAGTTTAATCTTTCTTTGCGTCGTTGTAAATTGGGAACGATGAGTCCCATTTCCTTAGTTAAATGCAGCTTCCTCCCTCAAACTTAACCCTTGAACTCCCAAGATCTAGCTGGCTGTGAATTCTCCCCTGGAGATCTGGCTGCAGCACATTTCCTTGTAAATTAGTTACGACTCATGAAGCTGCTGCAGTTATGTTATAAATACCTTTTAGACGCAAGGAAGTTTTTCCAGGTCCGCATAAAGTTGGTCCATCGTCATACAGTGTCGATTTCTGCCGCAAACCACTGAGGAAGGGCACGCCACCTAAAGTACGAGAAGGAAATATCCATAATTCGTATCCTGGCAATGTTCTCTACCCTTATAAACTTAATTCCCGAGGAGGTGAGAGAAACGCACTCAACATATAGAGAGATATTATTCTACATAAGTGTTAACGTACATGCGCACTTGAAAAGGTCGATCATTCAAGTAATGTCACAAGCTACTCGTTTTTTCGTACGCTGCGGGAGTGGGGGAGGGAATCCAAAATCCCTAGAATGCAGTGTACTCTGCACGAGCAGGAGTCGGGGGGGAGGGGTTGGGTGTACTATTAGCACGTGATGATGAATGGAGTGGGTTTTCTTTAAGTAATATTTCTTGACAATGAAGTTCGAGAAACATAACAAGTTCATTCCTTTGCAAGTTTCGCGTCCAAAAACTATCAAGCCAACGTATGTATTTACACGAAAATTGTCAACTGAAGTGTTAATCAGGTTCTCAATGAGACGATGGGTTTAACTGCAAATGGTTAGTATCATTCCATTGTCGTCACCCGGCAGAAATGTTTTTTACAGTTAACATTTTGTACGACTATCGGTTAAAAAATTTGTCAGTTTTTACGCCTAACGGCTTCACGTTTTGGCCGTTGTGCGGAAATCGGTTCACCTCATTGAGACCCTCTTAAAATGGTTTACGGGCAAAAAGCCTACTCCAAAAAAAGTTTTACCTCTTGAAATCCACCTTGACTAATTTTCTTTGCTAAGGAGGTGTATTTGTCGAGGAAACTTTTTTTTTGCTTTTTTTTTCTAGCTTAACTTTATCGCATACATAAGCATTATTTGATAATGTTTCGCAGATAACCACTGTATGGAAAGGCTGGTTAGGAAGATGTATCGAACCTCATATCAATTGGATTTTCGGCGATAAGTTCCTATTTTCACAAACCTTTCCTTTCCCCGCGCAAAAATACCACCTACCCTTTCTTAAGAGAGACTGTTTGTTGGACATTTAAAAGTAGAAATTCAATAAAAGAGTGAAACACAATCTTACCGGACTTTATATTATAATTAGCCAGCGTCAGCAACATTTTAAGTCTGAGTAATTCGAAGCAAAAGAGAGGACCAGAGGAGAACTAGCTTGCTCTCCTTCTTCCTTCGCACGCAGTGAGAGTGTATGCTTATCTAGTTAGTCATTGATTTCTTCATCGATTATTTTTTATTTTTCCTCACTGCGTCACAATGCCGGACAGCATGAAAGAGAATAAAGAAATCTGGTTCCTATGTCAAACAGAACATGACACAACGCATTTAGGACAAAATAAATTTTATTTTTACATTGCACGCACAGATTCTTACGCATAAACATTACAACTAACAAACGGAGTCGGGAGCTTTGACAGAACTTGATTCTATACACCAATTAATTAAAGTTGAGGACTTAAGCTATCTGAAAATGATATAAACCAAGTTCAGTCACAAAAGATCAAATGAACGACAGGTAAACTGACAACCTCGTTCCCAGGGTCTCTCGCCTTCCCGCCTCTCTCTCGCTTCAGGGAGCATGAAGATGTCAGTCCTTGGGAACGAGGCTGGTAAACTAAACCACTGACGAGGCGATTAACGAAAACTATCAACCAAGTCACTATTATAATCTAAAAGGTCAATTGCCATTACACTTCTTTGGATGGAAAAGTCTTTCATCAGTTTAAATGGAACCAAGATATGAGAGACTGGCTCGCCAAGTATCAAATTCATTCCGGAAAAAAATCACGGACCATTGATTGCTATATTTCAAACGAACTTACATTAAAAGACAGACCCTTTGGGTGCAAGATTACTCCTTTCCTTAGCTGATGAACTGGGACGAGGTGGGGGCGGGCACACTATTAAAGGTTGGCGCGAGCATGCGTCATCCCTCAACTGCGTCTATTTCGCGTCCGCCTTTCATTCACCCAGGAGCTAGGGAAACCTTACCATATCACCCGTCCTGCGGGAAAATAAAGCTTATTTAATAGCATTTTACCGTCAGGGGCATAAATAAGCCGCGACTATCGATAGGTGCAAATAAATAAAATAAAACTATTCACAAATAAGATTGTCAAGAAGTAAAAAAAGTTTAAATCAACAAAAAATTTACAGTTCACTTAATGGATGAAAGAAAAACTCCTTCAGCTGGAAGTCCATTAAAAATATGCGTGTGTTTAATCAGCTCCCCCTAGTGACACTTGGTCCTTCAGCTCAGCCATTTCTATAGAGGAGAAAATAAGAAAGCAAACGAATTAAAAAGAGAAATAAAAAACTTCAAAAACCATTGACAACTCAATGTCGAAACAGAAAACTGCCTGCTGTTTTGTTTTGCCTGAAGCGCGGGAAAACGCGTGTGACTATTAGTTGAGAGGATGGCGCGAGTTTTGGACCAATCACAGAGCGAAGCAACCAAAACCGAAGAGTCCCGGATTACTTTTGACGCTTAATTGGAGACGATTGCTCTACCGATCAGAAAAAAAAAAGTTAAAATGACCGTAAGTTCTAACCACCGCAAATCATTACCTAAACGCTCAATAATTCGCTGCAACATTTACGACCTTCTCTGCAAATACGTCACTTGCGAGTCGCAATGTGATTGTTTCATTACCTTGTTTCAGCACCTGATTCTCGTGCATGAGTTCCTGATTTCTTGTGGATAGGAACACAGCATCTTGTATCGCCTCTTCTAGAAGCGTCCGGTAGCGCTGTTCAATGGCTGCTTTCTGATCCTCGAACACTTCTCGGTAGTTACGAAACGTCTGAACAAAATTGCAAAAAAAAAAATGTCTTAATGTTACACTTCCTTATTACCTCAGCGGGCAGTTATTGTTGCAAGAAGCAAGTTAACACGTTACAAATCATATTCATATGCCTTCCTTCCCCACCCCCTCCCCGCCAGCTTCTTTGCGCATGGAGGGGGGATATTATATCTCTTCGAGTCTAGAAATTTTAACCTTCAATTGGCAAGTCCCTCTTTTCTTGCTAGTCTATCGCGCGAATGCAAACAAAAATGGAACGCGTGAAAACTTGAAGGTGGCATCGTACACCTCGCTACCAGTTTTTGTATAGTCTTGCTTTATATAACAAGGGAATGTACTGTCCTTTACTCTACCATTTGTAAGAAGCCACCCACATTCCCTCTTTTTCCAGTCATTTTCTTCACTCTCCCCAATATTCACCTGGAAATGTTGAAGCTGTTGAATTTCCAGTTCTTCCTTATGCCTTTTGTAAGCTTCCTCCAAGTCTGCCTTTAACCGCTTTTTCTCTTCTGTTACTGATTCAATCTGTATAAAATGAAAAACATCACCACATAGTTCATACACGAAGCTACAGTTCCGCTGCTCTCTCGAATTTGGTCTAGGTTCGACCATTCATATGAAAATGAGCTTAATTTGCATGCGAAGGGAAGCATCAAATCGGCCTATGAAAGGATGAGCATCAGGACTCGCAGTTTGAAAAAGGGGCCAAAGGTAAAACGGAAAGTAATCCAGGATTGCTTTGAGTTCGCTTTCTCTGTGATTGGTCCGAAAAGTCACGCCATCTTCTCAACCAATCAAATTCAAGAGTAAAACCAACCCCGCCTTAAACACACGCGTTTTCCCGCGCTTCAGGCATGTTGCTTGTTGTTACTGTGGGTTCTCATCGGCTTTACAACACTTAATCGAAGTGCACTCAACACGAATTCTTCAATCGATAATACCACAGTTGAACCTCCAAATGGGTGCGACAGGTAGGGCAAACTTCTTACCCTGCCTTTCGCACCCATTGGGTGGTCGGCCTGTGACAATACAGATTGCAAATCGTCCGGTTTTTATTTTTAATCACAACAAGTCTTTTTATATCCACGAAGATCTTGCTTACCTGCAATGACATAACAGTCCGTTCGGCTTTCAACTCCACCAGCTCCATTTCTAGCTTGATGGACTGATCAGTGCTGTACTGTACACCCTCTGCAGCCTTCAGCTGAGACAAAGAGACGATGTGGTATAATAGCTTGTTAGTACGTGAACGTGCGGTCCCTTTGTTAAAATGTTGAAACACAAACAAGTGGTATCCGTGCAACCTCGTTACTAGGGCCTTTTCCCACCCTACCCCCAAGGGAAAAGGCGCTGGGAACGAGGTTGGTGTCAGTGTCTTAAATCCTACAATTTTGATGGGAAAAAAATTATCTAGATAAAAGGGTATTAATATTTTTGGAAAATTTTGAGCAAGTCCTCCCACCGAGTTTGACGTCATGTCGTTCGCGGAAACAGTAGGCTCATTCAATCTTCAAAACGTTGAGTCGACGGAAAATCGTCCGATTTGGGAATTAATATTTCCGCATTTTACTGATCTATTTAATCCTTACCTGCAATTCAGCCTTTTCCTGCTCCACCTCCATCTTAACCCGGTCCACCTCGTCTGCCAATGTGAGAGCATTCTCTTTCTCGTGTTTCTCGCGGCGTTCGGTCTGAAAAAAAATTAATAAATAGAAAAAAAAATTAATAAGAATATTGATAAATTTCAAAAAGTAGATTCAGGATGATCAATATTTGAACAATGAGGCGATACAACAAAGCGGGGAACACATATATGAAACTTTTCTTTCACATAAGTTTGAATTGAAACTTTCAATGAATGATAAAGAACCATTCTTGCGGGTGATAAGCAGTGACCATCTGTAAAAAGGTCTGACTGAGTGATTGCTGTTGATAAGCAGTCTAGACTAGAAATTACTTCACACATACCTCAATCCGGTACCGCAATTCTGCGTTTCCTTTTAAAAATGTAGTTTGTGACTTGGCTTCCTGTTAAAATTCCAACGAAACATAATTTCGTTTCCTGAGTATTGTGACTGTTTCATTATAAACTTCACCGGAAGAGGAACAAAATGAAATCTGTTTTGTGGTTATTTTGCATTAAGTTTTACAAAAGAGGCAATTAAAATGAAGACCACCTCCTTGATAGTTCGTGAAGTGTGGTGGTCCTTCGACTTGAAAAACAGTGCGCGTTTCAGAAATGTCTAGTTTTTTTGTTGTTGTTGTTCCCACGTGTGCTGTTCCCTTCCCTTTTCGACCTAAACTTACAAACGGTTCACGATAGGAGACTATTTGTTTTACACTTTATTCAATTATAAGGCACTTTTTTCCTCTAGAACTAACCCAGCTACAAAGCCCAGCTCATTTGGTCATCGTTTCTGGCATATAAAGCAAACTTGAATCGTAGATAAAACTCCCAGTCCGAGACGGACATAATGTTTTCCTTCAGCCACAATGTAGTCTACAATTCCCATCGTACTTAACAGAACGCAGAACGCTAGTCACATATAAACCTAAAAATGACCTGATTCCCCGATAGCCCCGATGTGTTCTTTGTATCTCAAATGATAAAGCATGCGACCACCAATTCCGAAGGTCTGTGGTTCGAAGCTCCGTGAGCTGCTCATAATTTTCTTCTACTTTCCAAGTAAAAATACTAGACATCTTTACTTATCTTTATTTATCACACGGTTTAAAAGAAGATCAGCTGACCTCTTTTTCGGCTTTCTGCTTCTCCTGCACTTCTTTCAACTGGTGTTTAATCTTCTTCAACTCGTCATTCTCACTCTTGAGTTTTTCCTTCAATTCGTGAATGGAAGCCACTCTGGACTTGTTTTCATCCTCGCTGCTTTTACCTTAAAATCCCAAAACGACTCAACAAGTTACCTTCATTACTCGATTTTCAGGGTTTTAAAACCGAAAACTTTTGCCTAAACCCGTAACCCCTTTTGAAGATGTCACGCAACGTTACGTTGACATCCCGGAACGGCTATGAAGCCAGTGCACCCATACAAACGACAAAATCGGTAACTTGAAAACCCTCCACGGTAAGAAAAGCTTGTGGAGCATTTTAATCGCTTTTGCAACCTACAAGAGACGTCAAGCCCGTGAATTCATCGACGAATAAGAAGGGCGTGGTCTTCTATCTGTTGACTTCAGACGAGGCTTAGCCTGTTACAAGTACAACTCGAGATATTTCTTCAGATAGTGGAAATGTAACTTTCTTTTGTTTTGTTTTCTTACCAGTTTCTGCCATCTTGGAGTAGTCAACAATCTTCGCTTGCAATTCATCTTTGAGTTCGTCCACAAGTTTTCGCTTTTCCTTAAACTCAGCCGTTAACTACAAAAAAAAAAAAAAAGATTTAAAAATTGAAAAAGGATTCATTGCACAACGTCTGTGAGATCCATATCAATAATGATTTTACAACAACGCGATTAGTTTTAAATAGCTTGATTACCCAAAACTTCAAGGGAATTGTTAGAAAAGTGAGAACATTGGCAGGAAAAGGGGTTCAGCTTACTACTTTGCCATATGATAAAGGTTTACTCTGATAATTCATGACGCAACAAACCTGATCTTTTTCCTTCTGTAGCGCCATCAGTTTTTCTTGAACCTCTTTGTTATCCCGTTTTGTACTGTCCATAACCCAGTCCAAGATGCCCTGAGGACAAAATCAACAAAGGCTGCCTCAAAATCCTTCACAGCGCCATATGTGAGAGACATGACAGGTGGAATGTTACATTACAGTTCGCAAGTTTAAAAATTGTTTGTTTGTTTTAATAGCACCACGCTCGTCTTTGCTTGCGTTTTCAGAATACTTAGCTGCTCTAAATTGCGGTAAAAAATTTCTCAAAAGATAACAAAAAATATTCAGAGCATGAAATCAATGTTACCAAATGCAATTCTAGGTCGGGAATGACCTGTCAAGCAAAGCGAAATTACTCTTTTTTCAGTTAAACAGCCTTAAAAAATGGCTACATCATCCCAAATTCAAAGTTTTTTCTCTAATTAGGAAACCAGTAGACTCTTCTCGAGTCAAATCGCACCTTATTTGCCAACGTTATTCGTCGCTCTTCATCGTCGAGCTCGGATAACCTTTCTCGTTCCTCCCAAGTTTGCCGTTTAGCCGTCTGTAAATCCTTTATGAGCTCCTAGAGAAAAAGACGCAAACAAAGTTTGTCAGTACAAGTTTTCTCCATCTGTCAACTTGAAGCAAACAGCAAAATATAAACACGATAATAAATTTCAGGCTCAGATATTTTCACTGAACTTTCAAAATGTAAACGCATACCTCCATCTGTAATACTTCGTCCTTGTTTGCTGCTCCTGTTCTGCCAGAGGTCGCCAGTTTCTCTCGCAAACGAGCTATCTCATCTCTAAGGTCTTGGATAATTTTGGTGTTCTCTATCTGAAGTCCACAAAACAAGAAGTCAGTAAGGAAAAAAAGAGCGTTTCTTATTGGTTGTTGTGTTTAGTTGTGATAACTAACAACCAATCAGAACAAGGAAAAATCAAGCGCTTTTCAATCGAGCGCCGAAAAGCCCAAACCCAAAGTAATGACAACAGGCAATCAGAAAAAAGGAAAATATGGCAAAGAGCTAATGAGACCTCACAGACAAAAACAGGCCAAGAGCCTGAAGGGCGGGAAATCGCGATTGGACAAGACGTGATTGATTTTAGATTTTGTCTGATTGGTCGAGAGGATGGCGCGCGTTTATTTGACCAATCCCAGAGTGAAGTAAAGCAAACCAATAAAATCCCAGACAACTTTCCACACTCAAATGGAAGAAGAGCGAATTAAGACACCTACTTAGGGCAGGAAAATGTAAGACAGTTAGTTGCAATCGGTACTAGCACTACATCTTATTTCTTGAGAGAGTGGCGCTAATTTCCTGGACCAGTCACAAAGTTATGGGCCGGCAAATACCTCATTTTTCTTGACGGCATTGTCAACAAGCTTCGCTCTGTTTCCACACTGCATAGAGGTCAGCGTCTCCTCGTAATCAGAATCTGTCAGAGGTGGATCAGGACAAATCAAAACAAAGGAAGCTTACATCAATGAAATTCACTTTTAACCCGTGCAGTTTAAGACCAGGGAACCAACATCCCTTTCTGCTTCTATTCACTATCGTGTTAAAAAATAGTAAAACAAAGTTGTTGGATAATCTCCTAAACCTCGTTCCCAGGCTCATCTCTCTTCCTCCCTGTAGAAAGTGGAGGGAGATCCCTGAGAATGAGGTTATGATTCCCTTGCCTCTTCCCTTGACTAATTATGGTCTTTATTAGGAGAAACTGGTTGCTGATATAAGTCTTCTAACCTGCTGGTGACACTGTCGTGATCATGGCTGTATATGCACTGCCTCCAAAGGAATCCTAAAACCACAAAACAAAACGAGAAAATTTATTTCGGCTCCAGGGAGAGATTTGTCAGTTTTGAAATAATTAAAAAGTGCGTTTAATTTTGCTGTCTATAGCAACAGCAGGTGGTATTTTAACAAAATCCTCTGAAAATCCTTAAATTAAACCTGGAGAAAAATAACAAATTGCTAAGTCTTGTTCACAGCCTACAGAAATTCTCTCGCTTAAGTATACAAACGCCTGAAAAAAAAAAAAAAAAAAAAAGTGAAAAATTAGACTACAAACAATCCTTCCTTTTCGGCGAAGTTTTCGCGCGAATCAAAACCAATCAGCCAAAAAAGCTGATGTAAGCGCGCCTTGTGAAACTCTGGAAGTGAGGCGCAGAAAAGTCCCGCGTGGTGCGCCAACACCAACTTTTTTTGCTGATATATATTTTTTTTTTTTACACGCGCGACGAACTTTGCCGAAATGAAAGAACTCCTCGCAGTCTCGGGAACAGTTCATTTTTCATATTGAGGCGTTTGTTTGCCGGAAACATTAGCTTAACCTATTGTCTATAGTGTATTTCGACCTAACCTGTAATATTCTTGTCAGTTTTGAATCTCTGTATGGAATGTGACCTTCCTTTTTCTTCGAATCTGCCAACGCGCTGAGCACAGCATTCAAAGACTGGATCCTAACAAAAGACACGAAAATAGTCAAAAATGATCTAAGGAATGGTGGTCACATTGTTTTCATTCAAGCCAAAAGCAAACTTTAAGTTGTACTCTGACATTTCAGGTGTATCCAGCCCGTAGCAAGTACCTCCTGATTAAAATGAGCTCAGGAGGAATATCCACTAAACTAAAAGTCTCCGTTTCTTCTTCACATGTAACTCACATTAAAAGTCAGGGGTTTCATTCATGTTTTCAGCAGGAGGGCAACTGGTTTTCACAGGCGGGCAAACTTTTCGAACTGAACTTATTTATAAGATAAACTTTCCTCCAGATCGTCAAACCAAGTGGGAAAAATCGTGCTCACAACTGATCAATTTGCTCAGTACCCGGCCCTTGATGAAACCTCTGTTACAAGGCTGTTTGTTAAAAATATATCCAAATTTATTCTTTCTGAACTTACCCTTTATTCAAGAAAGCACCTTCACTTTGAATATTGAGATCTACCCCTTCCTTTTGATCAGACCCTTACAAAAACAAACAGTGATTGTTAACAATTATTCCACGAGCGCGCGTTGGATATGAGATGATAGATAGCCAATGAGGCACGTAGTGCCGAGTTGGCTATAATCATCTCATATCCAACAAGCGCGAGTGGAATAATTGTTTTATTAAAAACATTAAATTCAATATTAAATTTTACTAAATTTTTTTAGCTCCTTTTTAATTTTAAGCTGATGCGTATGCTTACCATATTTGTAGATTATGGTATATTGGCTCATATACCATAAGGGGGAGGGGAGGGGAGGGGAGAAAGAAAGGGGCTGCAACTGCCTTAGCAGCCCAACCTACTAAGGGTATAGAAATGGCTACCTTTAAATGAACTCTACACTTTTTCCAAGAACACATTTAGTCAGAGTAAGTCCACAAGACTATGGTATGTTGCTGGGATTCTCGATTAACAACATGCACAGCACCTTGAGTACCATTAAAAAAGGTCACCCAAAATAGGAGAGCTTAATTAAAATAGATACGAACTTTTATGCCAACAGAGATAAAAGTGGTTCCAGTTGCCTAGCAGTAGTGGTCACTCAGCATAACCAAAAGCAAAATTTTGTTACTTTCAATTGGCACACTAGTTGTTCAAAGGAGGGATCTGCTCAAGACAGGTGGTTATACCAGATGACATGAACTTCTAGATGCCAGGGAAGTTTTCTAAATTGAAGTAGATTATTTTTCTCTTCCAAGCAAAAGATTGAATTGTTTCTCAAAAGGTGTTAACATACCTGCCCATATGCACAGAGGGTGGCATTATAACCTTCTAGAGCTTTCTTCAATAATGGTGCTCCAAGATCATAAAAAATTTGCTCCTATTCAAAAATGAAAAGATGATATCAGTGTTACAACTTTACAACAAAATATTGCGTTATGATTTCTGTTCTCATTTATTAAATTACAGGACTTAATTATGTTAATAATTATGTTATTTGCTGCTTTACAGTACTCAGATCGAAAATTAACAAATATCAAGGAAATAAAGACATAAGTACTGAATTACAATTAATGTATTTTACTTACAGTCTTGGTGTCCCAGAAGTAGCTGTGATCAAAACTAAAGTTATGTTCCTATCAAGGAAAACAGTTCAGAGGTGAAAATATAAGTTGCGATGAAATTAGTTTGCAATACAAGAATAGTACCTCTGTCAATGAATAAAGAAGGCCATCTGTAGGCATTCATGATCACTCAATGCATATAATTTTTTTATATTAGCTGAATGAATTACTCATGATAATGGTTAATTTTAATCATTAACTATGCTGACGTCGACAAAAGTGATGGTAGCAATACTAGTAACATAAGCTCTGATTCACATAGTACATTATGACATATGTTGTAACCAGACAAGTGTTATTAAAATGTACCTAGATGTGAGCAAATTTTAATTGATCCATTAATTTTTGACAAACCTAGTAAATGGATAGCTAGGAATCGTGCATTAACACTTCACCTCCAAGAAGTGATTCACATGAAACTTCTCTCTATGATATCCATATGTAATCCAACAACAGTTGATGAGAATTTATTTTCAAATCTATCTATGTTTTAATCTGCAAAGGGTGCTACAGCCCATCTCGGCAGATATACCCACCCATCCCATCCCAGGGAAGGACATCCACCACACAGTAATCTCGTGCATGGGAAATTAACATCTCCTACCCCGAGCCCTGCAGGAGACAGGGCCTATGGTTTATTCATCCTTATCCGAGAGGACTAGAATATCTATCCATTTCTTTACATTATAGAAAGGTAGCACATTCTCCTCAGTTATTTTAAGACCCCGAGTGTTGGTCCAGCTGGGGCTTGAACCCTCAAACTCCCACACAACAGTCTGGCGCTCTACTAATTGAGCTAACCAGGAGGCAAAGAATACCCAAACTTATCAGATAGAAGTTGCTCTCTTGATCTAACACCAAAGACTTGTTTCTAATTTAAAGGAAATGTGGAACAGTCAGAGGGGAGAATTTACAAACAGATCTAGGGAATGAAAGGGTTAAAAATTTCTTTAATTTAGTAATATTAGACTTGATTCAGACATAAATGTGCTAAGACAGAATAAAATATTAGATGCTATCAATGTTTATCATAAAGTCCTCACCTTGGTGTTTGTCCCAGGGTGTGGATTGTGTATCACTGTTTTATCAGCGCTCATTTTGACCACTCTAGTCGCAGCCCTTCCCTTTTCACTCTCTATTAAGGATAAAGATTATCAAGTTATAACACACTAATGAATAAAAGCTGATAGTTTCTAAAGAAACTGTTTGGAGCTGCGTCGGTGGGGGTAACAAAATAATTTCAATATATCAACAAAGTTGAAATGGTAAATTGGCCACCGTTATGACTATAAAAGCTGACATTTCAAGCATTAGCCCTTCGGCATTTGCTCCGACGAAGGGCTAACGCTTGAAGCGTCAGCTTTTATAATTGTAACGGTGGCCAATTAAATACCATTTCAACTTTGTTGATATATTGAAATTATAACACACTAAGATCACGTGGTAAATTGGGTCCCATGAAAACAGGGCAAAAAGGAAGCATCAATCTTGAGGTTTGAAAGCTGTCTCTGATTCAGTGAATCTTTTTTCCAGGCACAATATCACTAAGGGGCTTAGAAATTTCCCATTTTTAAATTTTTATCCATATTTTTATTTATTATCTTTCATTAATTTAATGTAAATAAATATATATAATTTATGATTTTTATAGAAAGAATTATATAATTTTAGTTATTAATTACTGTTGTGATGCGCTTTTGAATATTTTATAGAAAAGGCGCAATACAAATAATAAATGTTATTGTTTTTGTTATTTAAATACAAGGGGCTAATTGGAGAACAGAGCTTATCATGAAGGTGATTTATCTAAAAATTTTTTAGGGTCATAATATTTCTCTTGAATTACCCAGATTAATTGAATGTGTAAAGTTAACATTTCTTAAGTTGAAAACCCCACTAACAAATTTTAAAAGAAAAACTAAAACAGGATTTCAATTGCAGTTAAATCTTGTACCAGATAGGCTGAATGGTCCAAACAGAAAACAATTGAAGATCTACTAGATTTAGAGTTTTGGTTAAAAGGGGATGACAGCAAGGCCGGTTAAACATTAGAAACTAATAATTCTGGGTGGGGGGCTTTTTGGAGAGAGGGGGATCTATTTAAGAGGGGACTTAAAATGGAAAGGCTTTGTTATCAGAGAGTTTGTAGTGTTGCTTTGCCTTTTAAATTGGTTTTTGATCATAAAGTGCAATTGTCTGGATGAGCATTGTCAAGAAAAGGAATGTTGCTTGAGGTAAGAACAGAAATTTTTACACGTGGAGTAATAGTCTTCATCAGAGTCAAGTGCACCTAGTATTAGCCTTGTTGCTATCACAGGCAAGCCTCATTAGTTTTTTTTTGAGGGGGGAGGGGACAGAATGAGAGGTGATTTCATCTTGCCTTGGCTTAGATTAGCACCTCTATGTACTTTTAGGATGAGAAGTGCATGACTAATTTCACACATAAAAGTTCCTTTTTCCCTAAATTTCAGCACAGTTACCATGCCCACAAAAAACAGAAAGAGGTGCCTGACAATTCTGATCAGCTATTTAAATTTTGAATCAATGTGTGAAACAGAACTTTCCAATTTTGCTTCTAAATTAATTTGAATTTACTCATGAATATTAGACTTATATTTGTCCTTCACTAAATATAGCAGGAAATAGTAAACTTGCTAATATGGAAAGAGATATTGCTTTCTTATATAGAAACAGATCAAGATAGAAGATAAGTAACATACTTTTATTACAAACATCTTTCATGTATATTAACCTTCCTTCAAAACACCCAAACAAAACCTAGATCTGACCTAAATTGATGAGATGAAACCACTGATAGTACTACGATTCACAGCTGGATCGAGGCTTCTCATACTTTAGAATTGTCAATTCGGCAAAAGCCTGCAGGGTATTATCGACTGCAGCCTACATACAGTAAAAGTCTGTATATATCAAACTTCCAAACAACAGCTGAATTTCCTCGAACAAACCTGCTTCTGTGCTTAATATCGGGGTCAAGAAGTAAAGATATTGTTCAAACATGCAGCCTTATTATCTGCTGAAGTTACTGTAGAGTCTCGCTCAGACTGAAGTTAATCTATTTGAGCCACAATTTTTATCAAACATAAGAATTCGAGTCAGAAATCGAAGCTTACTCACCATTGAAAGGCCTGCAGCGGGCCGCAACCCGGACATTTGTTCCTCCCGAAGTCTTCATGAAAGACAAATAAGAATTAGAGCCTTTTCTATGAGATAAAATTGCTTCAATCCATAAACTCATTTAGTTACCATTTTCGTATTTTTCACGTAACTCAGGAATTTCTTACTATCTAATCGGCCATATTGTCTCCCCAGCAGGAATATGTGACGTCACGCTCAAAACATAGCAACAATATAAACAGCCTAAACAGCCTAAACAGCCTGGGCACTAGGAAATTTTTTGCCTGTTTGACATTGACCCTGTTTACATTTGCAACATAAATGACCTCCACTCACAGTCTTGTATGTTCTTTGGATTGTTTTTTTCTTTTCCAGTTGTGTTATTGCACAGGGAAAATGAAAAATTTTTAAAAAAAAAAAAAACTTGGATCCAAAGATTTTTTTCAGACCTTTATGGTTTCAGGACAAACATGACGCCCTCTCATTAACAAATTTCCAATCTTCTCGCGAAAAAAGTGGCATTAAAAATCCACTCATTCTTAAAACGAAAAAATACTTTCCGCAGCTTTTCCGACCCTAAAATTGAAAAGGCGGTACTTCAAAGGAGCTACCATATATGATTGACAAGAGATTCAAAGAAGTCATGCGCAGTAGATTCCACTCATTCCTTCAGCGATTCAACTCAAAAACAGGACTCCCACCGGAAAGGTATCTACATGACTGCCTTGTAAAGAAAGGAACGATTTATTTTGGGACATCTGGAAATTAGCTCCACTATCAATCGGAGGATTAAGGAATGGCCGTAATTAAAGGCATAGTTTGGAAGCTATGCATCTCACACTAGAGTCTACCGGTAGCCATAGTTTCGAGAGAGGGAAAACGCCGCCGCGAGATCGTTCGTTAGAATGACTGATGCTCGCAAGCCGCGAAAATGTCAGATTATTATGCTCGATGAGCGGCGTCTAGATCTTCTAGTACAGGTAAGTTGTTCTTTTACACGCTTGACATTTTACGAAAACTATGAAATGAGGCAGATCGATCGCAGTGAAGCTAATATTAATCGCGTGAATATTTCTCTTCATCTCATTTCAGCCCCGGTTGATGTCCTGTGATTTACTAGATATGGTTGCCTCGCAAGTCGGCCTCCATGAGAAGGAATATTTTGGTCTTTCATACACCGATGAGACGTAAGTTGGTTTTGAATTATTCTTATAGTGATCGTTAGGGCTCAAACGTTTTTTTTATTTACAGCTGAAGACTTGTTAAATCCAGCGTAAAACGATGTAAACACACATCTGTCATGCTACACGAAAACATGTCGATTTGATAGACTCCGTGACGGTGCTGCAACCATCCCACTGCGGCTTACACAATGCCATTTCCAAGCACTGTGCTCGTTAAAAATATTTCTTTACTCTTCAGTAAATTTTGAGTTATTTTACCTTCCAAAACTTCGGTGGTCACGTTTTACGGTTACAAGCTTACTCGATATTTCGTAACTTAATCGTGTGGTTCTCATTATGCAAAGTGATTGTGCGCCAAATACATTCAACGCTCACATCATGAAATATCTGAAAAGCGCTTATAGCACTCTCTTTTTCACTTTTATCGATGTTGTAGCAGGGAAGCATTTTTTACAGGTGATATGTTAATCGCGCTAATTTTTGGCTTGTAATAACTTCATCACCCTCTTCAACAGCATGCTTGAGAGCTAGAGTACTCAGGCGGTCTTTCTATGAAGTTCACACTGCAGCAAAATATCTCTTCGTCTCTGTTGTTTTCTTTTTTCACTTCGGCCCGTGCTGTTCTACCGTATTGTTTTGTGTTTCTCACTGTCAATTTGGATGTTGTCCATAATTCAATCTTCGATGGTAGTTCCCATTTTACCTAATACTAATTAAAATGGAATAATGTTAAACCAATTCTCTTGAGGCTTTCTGTTTGTATTTTTAATCTAGAATTCTGAAACAACAACAAAAACCCTTTTATTTATATTTATAGATAAGATAGAACTTTTTAAGGGGGGAAATGAGATGGAATGTGTGTGTTTATTTTCCTCGAAGTGAAGCGAAAGTTACGGTTTTCGTCAAGAATGCAACAATCTTAACAATTTCCTGCATCGCTAAAAAGGAAATGCGTAAAAATAGCTTTTTGTTTCTCGCCTCGGAAGTCGCCCCGCTTAGAAAGGGTGCTTTTGGTGGGAAATAAATAATCAGATTAGAAATGATCGTGATTGTAACTTTTTATTGACGCAGCTATGTGCCAACAATGTGTAACTTCCACATCGATCATTCCATGCTTTCAGTTGTCATGATTTGTCGTTGATTAAACGTTAACATCCAAAATTAGATAATTTCACCTAGGTATGACGTTCTTCTTTATCTCTTCCTTTCTTATTTTAGTACTGTATTTCCTTTTTATTCTAAACTTCTGCCGTAAAAAAAAAATTAAAAAACCGGCTTCAAGAGGTCGATATTTAAGCATACTAATTGATTGTCTACTGCATGTACAAGCTTTTGACTGATGAGTCAAGTAAAGCGATATCATTTATCAAAGCTGTAAATTTAATAATTGTGATGCAAACAATCTATGCTAGTCATAATCAACATTGCTACGAGAACATCGTGTAATATAACTGTTTACCAATTGGCATGCACTGAGTTTTACGTCTTTAACGTTTCAAATGCTGTGTCAAGACAGGTTTGATTTCCTAATTCTGGGCCTCTTCCACACTGAATCTTGCAACAATTGTGGCAAACTGGTTATTTTGTTCCCAACTGAACTTTGCAAAGCAGGTTAACTGCTGCATCAAAAGCAGTAGACCTAAATATGAATTTTGATCTTTCAAATTTGCCATGAGCCTTTTGTCTGAAATTAGACAGTTTAGTTTTGAATAACCTGAACTGTGTGAGTAGGCATGGTTAAAATAGGGCTGATGCTTAATCGCATTTCCCAGATAAAACCAGGGCATTATGTTTAGAATGGTTGGCAGGTTATTGACAGAAGTGATTGTGCCTTTTTTTTTGCGTAAATTTGGAACACATTTAGGTCTTAAAGCATAATTTCCGTATGATCTTACATTAGTGTAAACCTAATACCATTAGGCGCTGGGAGATTAGGCTTAAATGGGCCTAAAGGTCAATAGAAGAAACGTGTTCCAACTCATCTAGTATTAATTTTAATCAATATCAGGCTAATTGTTTTTTCTTTTTCTGGTGTTGACAGAATGCTAACTTTTGTTTATAATGTATTTGAGATTTAATAAGTAAATCACATCATTTTACTGGGAAGAGCTCTACTATATTGCTAACTATTCCTATTTTAGTTTGCTAAGTATTGTTCAAACTTAAAGTTGAACCTCATTGACTGCTCTATTTCCCTATGGAAAAGTTAAGTTCACGGCATTGTGATAGGAATTGACGCAATAAATACTGATTAATTGTTTTTAAGGTTGGCCAAGCTTTATTGCTAATTAAAATGCGGGGTTAGGTGAGCCTACTGCTGTGTTGTCAAGGAGTAAATGCATTTCTTTATCTCTGATGTACATGAATCGAATTATTATAATTGAAATAATTGACCCATATAAGTCCAAGGTAAGATGCATCAGTGGAAATCAAGTCATATAGTGTTAATACGATATCAAAATTATTCAATGGTATTTATTGTTAAGGATGAAAATGCATTTTGATATATTTTGTGTTCCATTTGTTTAAAAAATTATCTTTTGCAATTAGGTTAAGATTTAGAATTTTTCTCATATATACACATGTGTGATTAAATTTTTAAAAGAACGTGGTTTGTTTACATTTATTCATGAATTAAAGGTGTTAATCACATTAGGTCTCAACAATTTTGAAAATAAACACTGTGTCACTAAATATCATAGTTTGGATTCCATCCCCTATGCTTAATCATGTAGTCTTGCAGATGTACATGAGTGTGCTCACGAGTTAGAACTTTCTTAATTTACAGTTGATTATTACATGTAACCTTACAATGCACATACATTGTACTTTCATAAGTAGAATTTAATGTACAAGTTAAAGAGTGAGTCTCAGTTCAGGAGTCACCTCCTGCTCTTTCATACTTAATCTAGAAATAATGTTCCACAAAAGCATGGCAGAAGCACTGCATCTGAATCAAAGTGTCAAATAAAGTTCTGTCAAGAAACTAGGTTCGAAAAGCTCTTCCATGCTACATGACTCTAGTTAGACTACAGTAATTCAAAAAATTGAAGTGGCTATTATTCTATTGGCTATTATTCTAAAATAGTGAACCTCAAACTCCGACAACTCACCAAGCACTTTTGTAAATTGGACCTAAATATCAAACTAGTTTTCACTTCTTTTAAAATTAAAAACATGTTCTTAAATATCATACTCCTGATGCTCTAAAATCCATGGTAGTTTATCAATTTTCTTTTGCGGGATGTAATTCCCATTATATTGGCAAAACTAGTCACCACTTCTCTCCTACGATAAAGGAGCACACGGAAAGCAATAAAAACTCGCATATTTTTAAGCATTTCAACACATCTTGTAAGAGCAAATACTCCCTTTCTTGCTTTAGTATTCTGGATTCTGCTAAGAACTCAATTGATTTAAAACTCAAAGAAGCTTTTTATATTAATAAGATCAAACCTGAACTTAACAAACAATTACTGAGTTCACACCTCTGATGTTTGGTGTCACGTTGTAATTTAAATTAGTACCTACTTTGTTGTACATCATACTGTAAGTATTTTATTCATCTACTTGTCTGTTATATAATTACTCACATTCTGTTACTCATTGATTGAAGATGGCCTAAGCATGCTAAAACATGTCTCTCAAAAAAGTTGTCTATTTCTTACAATACTTATCATACTTGCTACTACTACAGCCTTATGGAAATTCAAACATTGCACCTCTGTTTAGGCAAACAAAAAATTTAATCAACATATTTTGACAGGATATGCATTCCTGCAGGGAGTTATACCTCAGTAAATTGTTACATGGTGTCAAAAAACTCTGAATTTCTTTTGACTCTAGCCTGGCATTTACCATAATTGTGTTTCTGTTCTGTGATACAGTCAAACCTAATTGCAATTAAGTTCAGCACTGCAGAAGCAAAACATCTGAATTGGGCCTGAGGGACATTTGAGAAGAAAATATAGTTCAATACTTGTATACTGTTTTAATGTTCTCTTTCCTTCTTTCTTTTGGGTATTCTTGTGGGTTTGACTATTATTACAATGCTTTGTATTGACAACTCAGAAAAGCAATGTTTCTCTCCTTTTTGCTCTGCAGGAGTCACCAGACCTGGTTAAGACTTGACAGAAAAGTTCTAGATCATGATCTTCCAAGATATCAAGACCCTTTCCTTTTAGTGTTTTGTGTTAGGTGAGAAAAAGGGTTTTTTCTGTGTATGTTAAAAATGATTTTCATTCTATTTCATTTTCAGCTGATACATTATAAACTAAGCCATGTGTTATTTCAAAATAATTATGAAATTTAAGAGTTTCTTTGTTTAATATGTCTGTTTGGGATTTGAGTTTACTTGGTTTAAAAATTGGCCGCAGTCAAGATGAGAAAGGTGAACGTAAAATTTGTCTTAAGACTAAGCAAAAACTGTAAAGTGTAAAGTTCTTTAAAAGGATTTTTTTTCGCTGTCATAGTTATTATCCGAAGGGGATATTTATTCTTCACTCTATGACTTGAAGTGAGGAATTTCCTTTGATGCTCACCACACCTATGGGCTGATATGGGTGGGCACATCCTTTTCCATGCTTTGTTTCATTGTAATTAAAACAGGAAATATCCTATCAAGTAGTGATATGGCTCTGACTAGAAACAATAAGACACTCCTGTTCTCAGTTTTAATTACCTAGTTCTTGCAAAAATTGTCTAGTTTTTTTAGATTTTACTCTTTATACATCCATCTTTTTGTCTTCTATTCATTGTATTGGTGCTACAATTATTAAATTAATAAAATTTTCTATTTTCAGGTTTTTTGTCCCTAATATTTTGATTTTGAAAGAAACAAGTACTGTAGAACTCTTTTTCCTTCAAGCACGCATTCTTATCTTTAAGGTGAGAAGGAAGTTGACTACTGTTTATTGTGTTTTCTGTTCTAGTCTAAAATATAACACTGTAGATTTTTGAATTGCAAATAACAAACAATCAAAGACCTGGGTTAGATTATATTGCCAAAAAGTGAGTGATAGGCACTATTTGAAGGTACAATCATTAATACTTAATCCTTTCTAAGATTGACACTTTAGAAGTACTTGTACTGTAGTTAAAATAAAGTTAAGTATACCATGGGCTCATTGTAATATGTTCATTTGGGCGAGATAATTATTTCTCTCCATGCTTTATCCCACCCTTCCCTTTTATGGGTAAGCACAAACTGTTGTAAAGACTCGGGGTTTTGGCAAGGAAATTGAGTTGCAGAAGAATAGTGTAAAGCATCAGGAGGATTTTCAAATGAAATGAATCACATGCTAAAAATTGGTATTCATATTCTCTCTACCTTAAATAGTCCATTTTACAGTTACATGCTTGGTTGCCAAGCCTTTGAATGGTTGCCAAGCCTTTGAATACAGACGTTGCTGCTTTTCAGATGTAAATTACTTTGTTATCATGCTAAATAGCTGCTGGTCTCTATCACAGCAAGGTCACCTTCAGCCTCACTCCAAATCAAAGGTTTGGCAACCAAGCACAGAACTGTAAAATGGCCTATTCACCCTTAGCAATTATAATACTCTTAGTTTTTTATAGTACAGAAAGGGGAGAAGCCCAAGCCATACCACTGTCACTATAAATTCAGAATGATCAAAAAATATTTCTTTGAATCTTTTCTTAAACCCTTATATGTACAATATTTGTTTCTTGCAGGGTACAATCCAGTGTGATAGTGAAACTGTTTTTGAATTAGCTGCCCTTGCTCTTCACGCAAACAGTGGGGACTACACAAGGTTGGACACAAAAGCTGTTTAAAATTCTCCCTTGACATTTTCTGCTCTAATTGCTTTTCATCCTTATTTTCACACATTGTAAACATGCAGAAGTCAACAACCAATATGAGGTTTAGGTTAGCAGGCTAGTGTTTTCAAAAAATGTGTACTTGATTAGATAATTTCCATCTCCTTTCAGTGATGAAGCTGCAAGAGCAGATCTCAGGAAATTACCAGTTCTTCCTACAAGAACACTTAAAGAGCGACCTTCAATTACATTCTGGTAGGTTCATGTACAGACTTCTTTTGACCGTTTGCTGCAAGTACATCCAAGCTGTAAACGTTTTAGACTTACAAAGTAAGGAAGATGTAAGAAGTAAGCATGAGTTGTTCCTCACACTCTGAGAAACAGTTTCGTGAGAGTTGTTGCTTGGTTTAAGACATGGATATAGGGGTCCAGATTTGTTAAGCCTTAGTGTCAGCCCACATTGATTTTTAACAAAAAGAAATCGGGATGTTCAATTTTTGAAAAAGAGTGCATGAATTTTTATGCATGCCAGAAATGAAAGGCTTTATGTTAAAATATGTTTCTACCCACAAATGAATAAGTAAGTTGACTTAAAGTAAATTTTAATTTATGTTGTACAGTGAAGATAAAGTGTTGGACTATTACAAGAAATCTGCTGGACAGACAAGAGGTGAATCTGTTGTGAGGTAAGCTGCAGTATACAATGCAAACATTTTACAGTGTAGGTCCGCATGGTAATTTTTGTTCTTTCAAGTGCACTGGTTTGTGCAATATTTTTCTTTAACATTTAATTTTAGTGATTGTACTGTGTAAGCATGAATTCATGGCGAACGGAAGCTGCTGCCATTTTCCCTCAAGTATTGTTTTACTAAATATTGGATGTGTGGCCTAAGTATAGTTTCTCGTTACCCTCTATCAGCACCGTAAACATGTTGCTGAGACTATTGCTATTTCTTCTTTCCTCAGGTATCTGGTTATTTTTCAAAGCTTGCCAACTTATGGTGTTCATTATTATGAAGTTAAGGTAGGTATAGTTAAGGCTAGATATTTGTGTGAAAGACAAAGCTATTTAAACATGATGTTCTTGCAAAATGATTCAATTATGCTCTTTTCTGGCTTATGTGTCCAAAACAATAATTATTGCATCAAGGTGTAGGCAAAATTTTGTTTTTTTCTAGAAAGGGTTTCCAATACTTGCATCATATTGCCATTTAGTCATGTGTAGATGTATTTTCTAACAAGCAAGTTGTCTTCTTTTGTGAAAATAACCACATGATTGAGGCATTGTATTTACCGATATTGTGTAAAACTGTTCATGTATGAGTTTTCTATTTTCAGGACAAGAGCAATATACCATGGTGGTTAGGACTCAGTCCGAAAGGAATTGGTCTGTATGATCATGGTGATAAAATTAAGCCTAGAAAGGTAAAATGCAAATCTTTATGATTGCATATTTGTGCACTATTCTACATCATTTGCACTAGTTTCAAATGTCAAGGCAAGGGTGCAATTTTGCAAGCAATATCTCTGACTATGAACTACAGTAATGGGTTTGAAAATGTGGTTTTTTTTTTCAATGACATTGCTTTTAAAATCAGAGTTGTTCGGTTTTGTTTCTTTTTTTCTGTCTGGTGAGTTTCTTAAGTATTGCATTTTGACTTAATATTTTCATTTTCAGATTTTTATGTGGAGTCAGATAGAGAACATTTACTTCAGAGATAGGAAGTTCTCCATTGAGATCAGAGATTCCTACAGGTGAGTTTTATTAAATGAGTAATGATTTTTCCATAAAAATATCGTTAACCAAGGGTTAGCCAAAGGTTTTTTTTATTTAATTTTGTGGCTTTGCATACAATTTCAATCATTTACATTTTCCAGGAAGAAACTTTTATTTGAATTTAATCCTTCAACATTCTCAAGGCATCAGATTTCTGACCTGCATGTTTTTTTTGCACTCTCAACAACATTTTTACCTAGTTTACTTGTTCAGTAATGATTCCTTGTTCCATTTGCATCATGATACTCTAGGCTGCAACATCTTCAGATATATTATGGGTCTTTCATACTTGTCTTTGTTAAAAAAATGAATTTCAAAATTCAACTTGTCGTTTCCTCTCACATGATAAACACCTTGCTGAAGTGGTCAGGTGATGTGCTTATAGGGTGCCAAATGTTTAAACTAAAACTACCAAATACATAAAAGAATTGTTTTAATCAGTGACTCAATAAGGACGTAAAAAGCTGTTATTTTGATACTGAGTCAGGGAATAACTCCTCTGATGTAGTATTGAACTTTCCACCTCCAGATATGAATTTAAGGACAGTAAAACTAGGTATGTTGAAGTATCCCCCTTGTGAAAATGAATTTTTTCTTCAATTAAATGCATGCACAGTGTAACTATAAAATAATGTAACTTTAATGTGGGCTTAATGGGTAAATAAAAGTAAATAAGGAAAATTTAAACCACAAGCTATAAAGGTAATAAAAAGACTGTTAGTAGTTCTTTCCTCTTATTTGCCTTTATTTCATTTATTTATTTATGTAGTAAATATTTATTTGTGTATTCACATGTTTGTGTGTAGGGTAAACACAATCGGCCGCAAACATAATGGTGCTGGGAACATGATGGTCCATGCCTGGTTTTCAAGCACAGGTGCATTGGCAAAGACAATGTGGTCGATGGCTATTAGTCAACACCAGTTTTACTTGGACAAGAAGCAAGTAGAGGTTAGTAAAATAGACTTGATTCAGAGAAGGAATTCTAGTTGATATATATATATCTTATTAACCAAGGGCGAGGGCCGTACTGGGAGAATATTGGCCAGAGGTCTTGACAGTACGGACCGAGCGCCGATATTCTTCCAGTACGGTCCCGAGCAAGCTTGGTTAATAAGAGATTTATTATACAACTTAAGTTCAAAGGGAGAAAAGTGCGGTATCATTCGGGACCATTCGGGACAGTGCCCGGTCCAATACTGAGAGAATATTGACCGGCAATAGAGCATTTTGATTGGTCGATTTTAGTTATTGGCCCTCTGACTGCCCGAGTCGTGTAATAAAAAAGGTTAACCGCCATTTTTTTGTCTCGTTTTCTTTGCCACTTTAATTAAACCAATTCACACACCTTGGGTGGAAAAGTGCGTGAAGATATTTTTCTTTCTGGTTGGCTGGAAGAAGGCGTCGTTTCTGACTAGTTCATCTTTGCTGCTTCATAGAAAGCTATCTGATACCAAGTTAACACGGTGGCCAATCAAAAGAAAATCTAGCATCTTAAGGAGCCGATGAAAACTCAAAGGAAAAGCAAGCAAACTACTCGAAGCGCGGGAAAACACGTGCGTCAAAGTCGCAATTGGTTTTGATTTGTTGAGGAGGTAGCGCGACTTTTCCGGACCAATCACAGAGCGCAGTTAAGAAAAAAACCAAAGAATATCCCGAGTACCTTCGAAATTAGCATTTTTAAGCAATCATAAAACCTTAACCCGTTTGTGATAACTATTTATAAATAAGGAAATGGTTATGGGAATGCTCGTGCAATTGTTTGAAATCCTGCAGGCCAAAATAACATTGAGGAGAAGTCTTCGAGATATGGCACGTGAGCTATCGCAGTCAACGGGTTCATTACCTTCTTCCACGTCAGACAGTATTAGGACGAAGAGTGACCAGTCACGCAGTATGTCAAGTCTGACCATGAATGGAAGTGAGTATCAACCTAACGGGGGAGGGGGGCATAAGTGAAACTTTGAGACGTTATCTAGATATAATTTTAATATGAAGGGGTGCTTTAGGTATGATTAATGTTCGTGTTATTCTAATGAGCCTAATTCTGTGCTCTAGCAGGACATGAGGCAACATGCGACTAACGTTTGCCTCTGGATCACTTTATATCTTTGCTTTCCTAAAACCTTAAGCACCTCAAATTTCAGAGATAAATGCCATTAGGCACCTAGTGGTTCTACAGAGTAAAGAGCTTTGCCATTGTGCTGAGTGTGTCAATCTATTGGATTTATGCTTATCATTCTCTCACTTTCATAGGTGAGAATTTATCTTCGCTTCCCAAAGCCGCCGAGCGAGAGATGTTAACAGCTCTGGCAGCGAGGAAAGAGGCTCTCCTGGAGAAACTTAAAGAAAGAACGGAAGAACTCAAATCCTTGTGTATGCAGGAAGCGGTGAGAAGCGATAAAAATGCAACTTCTTCTCGCAATTACAATACATTATATAACAACCATGTTGTGAGAATTGGGTTTTATCGGGATAGAGCCCATTTCGATTGATTGTCATAAACCAATACTTAAGTAATCACAACTGTTACGGCAAATCATTGGAAAGGAATATACCACCAGTGGCCAATGAGAACGCAAAGGTAAAACAAGCAAACGCTCAAAGCGCGGGAAAACTCCAGTGACCAAATCGTGGTCAGTGGTTTGGAATCTGATTGGTTGAAAGGATGGCGGGAGGTTTCTGGACCAATCACATGGCAAACTAAGGCAAAACCAACGAAATGATTACTTCCGGTACACAATTGGAAATTTAAATATGATGACGAATTCTCTTAACTAATTTATGGAGGTATGTTTAACAGCTAGAAAGTAGAAATGGTGATCAGATGCCAGAAGTAACGACGGTGTAAAGCAAATTTTACACACCTTTGACTTATCGATAGTTAATGTACGACCACCTCTTCCAGGAATTAACTGGCGAGTACCCCCTGGAGACACCCTATACACCAGGGAGCCCCCTGCCGCCAATCAGACGGAGGGTTGGAACTGCCTTTGAATTTTCCGAGTTTATTATCAGCGGAGAAAAGGACGAGGTAATTTAAATGTTGTGAGATGTTCTGTTGAGAAGAGTTCTACGACTCAGTGTAACCCACGGCCCACAAAGCTAGAAATCTTTAGTCGAATAAAAAAAAATGATGTTATGATTTTTATCAAAAACAAAGAGGTGCCAGACCTTCTTTTCGTCCTTATGTCGTTGGGAACTAGTGCAGTGGTTTTAAAGATGCAAGCTATTTTCTATGGATGGCGAGACATTCCTTTGGGCTGTTTCCCTATTCACCCAACCATGTCTCTTTTTCGCTCGACTTTCTCTGAGTGGAGTTCCTAATATTAAAACTATGACAGTGTTTTGTCTTTTAGTTCTTTATACTCTTTGAATGTTTTTCTCTGATCAGGACGAGGAAATCAAGTCTATGGCAAGAGAGATTGAAATTCAGTCACAGATCACAACCGCCGCTCAGGTATAGGAGGCATCCTCAACGTTCTGACATTTCTTCCCTATATTTTGGAGTGATGTAGTCATTTTTTGTGGCTATTCCCTCCCATAGGAGGAGAAGCCACATACATTGTCGAGATGAGTGAGTGAGTGTAACAATAGAATTCCGATCTTGACCCAATTTTGACCTGATGTTTCCAAGTGCTTATATGAATTGCTTATTTTGGGATGAAGTAGTAATTGTTATTTTACTGTGCTCCTTGTTGCTTCACTTTTTTTCCCAGAAACTCGCCGAAGACCGCAGTGTAAACAAGAATGTAAGAAAAACAAGAAAATTAACGTATCAAAAGTCACTGAGGAGGGTGAGGACAATGGATGCTTGAATCCTTTTTTTTTTTGTGCTTTTTTCTCTTTATCTTTTTTTTTTTCCTTTCTCTCGCCGATTCCTGTCGCGTCTTACTCGCGGTACTTGCGGCCGTATCTCTTCTTTGAAGCAAAGAAATTTAGACCGATTCCTATGAGGTGAACTTCTTTTCTAATTGCAAACTCTTCTTTAGTCACGCGATTGAATTCGCTTCTTAAATGAGGAACCTCTGGTCGGTTTCGTGCAAGGGAAGCGTGCGGTGGAAAAGCTCATATTTCGTGGTTTGCAGTGCTCGACACGGTAGTAACTTTTCAACTTACTAGCCAAATTGGTTTATGGAAATCGAAACCACTTGCCAAAACTGAATTTCTACTAGTCTGTGGCTAGTTGGCTGCCGTTAATGTCGAGCCCTGGTTTGTTTAGTTTTAGTGCGTCAATCTTTCCCATTTGTTCTCAATTTAAATAACTAAACTCTTTTTGTGTTATTGCAGCTCAAAGACATGGAAGGTAATCTTGAAAGATTAAAGAAGAGTCGATCGGTTGTGGACATCAACCACGGTAATGGCCATCATAATTTAACTAGTTCTTAATAAGCTTAGTTTTTTTTTTTCTTGCGATATGACCCGTTCGTGACACAAACATTCGTCTCTGTCGTTCGTACATCGTACCTGCAAAACATCCAGGAAGGCTAAATTGTTGCTAAGTTCTGCTTTGACTCGCACACGGTGCGACTGTGGTAAAATCTTTCAGCTTTTCCTTACATTTCCAAGGCTATTATGTTGCGCAGACCGAGCTGTGTGGCACACAACGATACAAGTGTTGTGTCACGCAGCTTGGGTGTAATGTCACTTTTGTTGACGATCGGTTCTATCTGTTTTATTGCCAGATATGCTCATCATTGCTAAATGAGTGATTCAATTCTCGCTTCTAATCAATTCCACGTTTTATTTCGTAGATGAGGAAGGTAACAGGACCGGAGAAGGTGAGGCACAGCTGTGGCTTCTGTAGTTGATGTCCTGTAAAGTAAAATTTGGTTTCATCAACAGAGTTCTTATAATAATGTAATCTTAAGCTGACGTTTTGAACGCTAGCCATTCGTCGGAGCGAAGGAGAGTCACAGATTTAAAGCCTCATCGAAGCCAGAAATCTTTCATCAACGCTTGATTTTTTCAATTTATCTTTTTTTTTGATCATGTTATTTCTGTTTTCCTTCAGGTTTCTATCACGTAAATTCGACGTCCGACGGTCCCAACTATTCCCAAACAGAACGACTCAGTCCTCAGCGCTACCGAACAAGTGTTAACCTTAGTGTTGGTAGCAAGGGAAGTACAGTCAGTGCGGAAAGTCTTCATGATAGAGACTCAATCGATAGGGGGTCCTACAGCGGACCCCCCTCCCCGGTGATATCACCGTATAGAAAAACACCTACAAGCCCCACTGCAAGGGCTTATCATGGATTCTCGGAGACGCGACGACAACACAGTCCGTTAGCCAACGGCCCCCGTGCGGGGCGATTTTCTCCGCGGGGTGAAAACAACCGTTCGGTGCCAGCGTTTCAATATTCGGACAGTGACACTAGAAGTGACTCTTCCACGAAGCCATCGTCGGTGAGTTCGTACGCGAACTCGGAAGACAACGGAGATAACATTGAACCTTACTGGCATCAGCGGAGAATAGGGAACTCTTGCGAGAGCCTGGACGAGAATCACGTTCGAGGACCAAGTCCTCGGATGTTTGTTAATCGTTCTGCGGAACAGAGTTCAGAAAGTCTGAACAGTGACCATGAAGGGAGTCCCTCTCCGTTTAGTCCTGTGCGCAATCCTCGATCATTTTCGTTAAGCGCTCGCCCATCAAACTTGAAAATTCCAACAGTGAAGTATTTAAACTCCAGTGATTTGGGAATAATCAGTACTTCAGGTACTGCTGGGAGTTACTCTCTAAATCACACTTCAAGATTGTCTCCTAATCTCGCCAGCAAAGGATTTATCTCCACCTCTCTGTCGAAAATCGATCGGCCTCCGCCTTCGTTGTCAAATATGAATCTGAGAACAGCTAGATCCCAGGTTAATATGTCAACGATGCCTTATCTGACAAGTCCAGGTTACTATCGAAAAAATCAATTCTCAGAGTTGTCAATATATGAGGAAGACCTGCTTGAATGGAGAGCGAATGATGAGTCGGAAGCTACATTAGTGTGAGATCAACAATGAAAAATAATCCATTCTCCATCGCCGATTTCACGAAACAAACACATCAGATAGAGAATCAAGCTGGTGAAACGGAGCATCAGATGGTACCAAATCGATGTATTATAGGAAAATGAAGAGTTGTGAAGACCTCGTTGCACATTTCATCAAATACGGTGGATAGAAAACCGGGCTGGTTAAATGCTAAACAATAGCGAATCAGAAGCTACGGTGATACAAAATCGATATAATATCGGGAAAAGAAACGTAATCCTGTCGCACATCTCCGACAGTTGTGGAACGAGCCTGGTGAAATGGAGAAGGCTGGCATGCTGAATTAAAGTGATACAAAATCGATATTCCCCACTGAAAAGTGCGGCAGACATACAAAAATTTCGTATTTTACGAGTTTCATCTAAGGGCTGATAATTTTTACACGGTTTGTGTTCGAAACGTTTTTAAGGTGATAGAATTTTTGTACAACTTGACAAAAATTATAACCTAGGTCTGTTCTTGTTGGTACCCTTCACAGATGTTTTCCTTTTACCAAGTTGCAGGAGTAATTTTTAAAGTGGGTATTATTCTACAAAATAGCAAGTGTTGTGGTATAAAAGCGGGTTGGGGGAGGTTTATTCTTATCGTAAACGGACTAAATCGAGAGAAAATACTTTGAAAGGTGACATTTGCAATTTTTTTCTTTTTTGATAAAATTAATCGTAATGATTTTTTTTTTTATCCATATATTCTTTGTAAGTAATATTACTGAAACAGTTTATTTCATTGGGTCCCTTATATTACAGCGTTTCATAATCGAGTGTCGAAGTAAACAGGAATTCCTTTGGGCTACTTTCACATGCTTTGATTGGTATAAAACACTTGTGACACTATTGCAAACCGGCCACGTTTATATCCCGTCCTTTCATAGCTTCCATGTATTTCTCTCCGTTCTTATTGGCTCCTTTGTGTTTTCCACGACTGAATGGTAAATTTTTTTTTGTCAAGCGACACTCGAAAGTATCTGTATAGAAATCAGGTCATTTTTTATCAGTCATTTATATCCCTATGGGATAACGACCTGCTTTGTAGGTCACTTATGGTATTTATTTGAAATTATTCATGAAATATTCCACGTCATAGATTGGGTTACTGTATTGAATTTTGTGAGTGCTGTAAAGTATGGATAAAAGAAAAGAAAAGTTGTTATTCGCAAGAGAACATGTAGATACTGAATGAAGATACTTATCATTTTAACTAAAGCATTTTTTAAAACAAAATATACCAGTGTTATTATATACACAAGAATGTTTCAATAAATAGCAGAATTATAAACATCTCTTTGTCGCTAATTTTAAGTGAACTTCTCTACCAGAACCATTCATCTCTACACACTCTTAAAGAAACGAGCCTCCCTGAAAACGAGGATAGCATAATTTCTCATTACAGGCTTATCGTGAGAATGTTCATGTCGTTAGTTCTACGACATGCTCTCAATTTTTCTTTGCTATGCCCCTCTTTCCTCGCTAATGCGAAACTTGTAGAAAGAAACCGCGGCTGAAACGAACTGCAGTATATCTGCGCGAATTTTGTCTAGGATTCACTTTGTCTCCTGTAGGGGAATCCTTGTTTACAATATTTGCCTCATTAGCATAAGCAATTCAGTTTCTGATGGAGCTTAAAATAAATCAGTTCTGAATATTGAACGGTCAAAGTACGATTAACTCGGCCAATGAATACGAGACTGATGCATTGAATACTTTTTGTGCAACACGGGTTTAAAAACTCAAAATGTTACATAGAATGTATGAGCTCAGCGCTTTTGCCACCCAGAAATTTTTGCAGTTTTTGATGGACTATTTCTCCGTGAATATTACACCCAAAGAGCTACAAATTTCACCATGTACCAAGGTTTTCTAGCTCTTTAGCTGCCTGAAGTCAATTTGTATCTAACATGCTTCCTTCTTTACGCAGAGCCGTATGCAAATGAGCAAAAATGTAAACAATGACGTCAGCATGAATCCGCCTCCTGGTTAGCTCAATTGGTTAGAGCGCCGGATTGTGTTGTGCGGGAGGTCGAGGTTTGGAGCCCCGGCCGGACCAATACTCATGGTCTTAGAACTGAGGAGAATTTGCTACCTCTCTATGATATCAAGAAATGGATAGATATTCTAGTCTTATCGGATAATTATTAAATAAACCCCTTCAGGCGGCTGATAACGTCCGCGGCTGAGAGATTGTCCGAAAAATGAATATTTGGCCGAGAAGCGAAGCTTCGAGGGCAAGTATGAAATTTTGAGAATAATCTCTCAGCCAAGGACATTATCAGCCGACGTACCAGCAAGCCAGAACGGGGTTTATTTATTTTATAACCCTCCCATTAATTTTCACATCGCAATCAAACTGCGCGTAAAGACAGTAAAAAAAGCCAGTGGTGATCTGATGGCGAATGCGCGTGATTGACGCACGCAAGCAAGCAAAAAAATAAACCAGTTTGGTTTCCTTCTATGTAAATAGGAGAACAGAAAAGTTGAAACTCTTGTTTTGACTATGTTTTTCGCGGAAAAAAATCAGAGAACAAATATCGACGCGGACGGGGGTTATTGCGTGATAACTGCACTGTGATTTTGCACCATGTGACGTAAAGTAACCAGTTAAATCGCGCCAAAATTAATAGGTGGGTTATAAGGACGAATAAACCGTAGGCCCCGTCTCCTGCAGGGTTAGGGGTAGGAGACGTTAATTTCCCACGCACGAGATTACTGTGTGATGGATGTCCTCCCGTGGGGTGGGATGGGTGGGGGAAAGGTGAGATCGTTACATGGACTGAAGCGGCTGCCAGAGGGCGCCTGATAATGCTAATGTCTGATTTCAACCTTAATAACATTGTAAACCTTAGCAATTCAGCCCATGCTGCTATTAAGGTATCGAATAAACCATTCAGTATTCATCATTCACTATTCAGATGTTGCAAGGGACGCTAAAGATTATGGTTTGTATAGACTCACTTCCAGATTTCGCATCTTCCGATCTTTCACAAAAGAAATCGTAAAATATTAAAAAAAAAGAAACTGCACAGTTCAGGCTATATATAAATAAATACTGCTACTAGTGACCAAAATGCCAAAAGAGCCGAAACGGGCAATAGTGGCCAAACTGCCATACCGGCCACTAGTGACTCAAATACCAAAATGGCCAATAGTGGCCAAAATGCCAAGACAGCCACTACCGGCCAAAGTGCCAAGAATACAGCTAGTGACCAAAATTCCAAAACCGCCTCTAATGGCCAACATGCCAATACGGCCACTAGTGACCAAAACGCCAAAACGGCCACTACTGGCCAAGTCAAATGCCGAAACGGCCCCTCTTGGCCAAAATTCCAAAACGGCCATAAGTGGCCAAAAAACCAAAACGGCTACAAGTAGCCAAAATGCCAAAACAGCCACTAATGCCAAACTGCCAAAACCACCAGTAGTAACCAAAATTACAAAACGGCCACTGGTGACCAAAATGCCGAAACAACTACTAGAGCCCAAACTGCCGAAACAGCCACTAATGGCCAAAATGCCGATACGGCCACTCCTTACCAAAATGCCATAACGGCCAGTAGTAGCCAAAATGCTAAAACAGCAACCACTGGCCAAATTGGCAAAACCGCCACTAGTAACCAAATTAATAAAACGGGCACCACTAGCCAAATTGCTAAAACGCCACTAGTAGTCAAAATACCACTGGTGGCCAAAATGCTAAAACAGCCACTAGTGGTCAAAATGCTAAAACAGCTACTAGTGGCCAAATTGCCAAAACGGCAACTAGTGGCCAAAATGCTTAAACAGGCACTAGTGTCCAAATTCGCAAAAAAGCCACTAAATACCAAATTGCCGAAACGGCCGCTGTTGGCCAAATTGCCAAAATAGCCACTAGTGGCCACATTCCTAAAACGCCCACCAGTGGCCAAAATGCCAAAACTGCCACTAGTGGCCAAATTGCCAAAATCGCCACTGGTGGCCACATTTCCAAAACGGCCACTAGTGGCCAAAATGCCAAAACTTCCACGTACTAGTGGCCAAATTGCCAAAATGGCCAATACTGGCCAAGTTGCCAACATGGACACTACAGGCCAAATTGCCAAAATGGCCACTAGTGGGAAAATTGCAAAATGGCCACTAGTGCCTAAAAGGCTAAAATGGCCAAATTGCCACAATGGCCACTAGTGACCGAAGTGCCAAAACGGTTGCTAAAGGCCTAACTTGCCAAAACAGCCACTAGTGGCCAAAAGGCTAAGACTACCACTAGTGGGCAAACTGCCACTACGGCCACTAGTGGCCAAATTACCAAAACGGCCACTAGTGGCCAAATTACCAAAACGGCCACTAGTGGCCAAATTGCCAAAACGGCCACTAGTGGCCAAACTGCCAAAACTACCACTTGTGGCAAAATTGCCAAAATGTCCACTAGTGGCCAAATTCGCAAAAAAAACACTAAATGCCAAATTGCCGAAACGGCCACAATTGGCCAAATTGCCAAAATACCCACTAATGGCCACATTCCTAAAACTCCCACTAGTGGCCAAAATGCCAAAACTGCCACTAGTGGCCAAATTGCCAAAATGGCCACTGGTGGCCACATTTCCAAAACGGCCACTAGTGGCCAAAATGCCAAAACTTCCACTAGTGGCCAAATTGCCAAAATGGCCAATACTGGCCAAGTTGCCAACATGGACACTACAGGNCCACTATTGACCGAAGTGCCAAAACGGTTGCTAAAGGCCTAACTTGCCAAAACAGCCACTAGTGGCCAAAAGGCTAAGACTACCACTAGTGGGCAAACTGCCACTACGGCCACTAGTGGCCAAATTACCAAAACGGCCACTAGTGGCCAAACTGCCAAAACTACTATTAGTGGCAAAATTGCCAAAATGTCCACTAGTGGCCAAATTCGCAAAAAAACACTAACTGCCAAATTGCCAAAACGGCCATAATTGGCCAAATTGCTAAAATACCCACTAGTGGCCACATTCCTAAAACCCCCACTAGTGGCCAAAATGCCAAAACTGCCACTAGTGGCCAAATTGCCAAAATGGCCACTGGTGGCCACATTTCCAAAACGGCCACTAGTGGCCAAAATGCCAAAACTTCCACTAGTGGCAAAATTCCCAAAACAGCCACTAGTGGCCAAACCGTCAAAATGTCCACTAGTGGCCAAATTCTAAGATGGCCACTTGCGGCAAAATTGTAAAAATGGCCACTAGTGGCCAAATTGCCAAAATGGCCATTAATGGGAAAATTACCAAACGGCCACTAGTGGCCTAATTGCCAAAATGGCCACTGGTGGCCAAATTGCCAAAAGGACCACTAGCGGCGAAACTGTCAAAACGGCCGCTAGCGGCCAAAAGGCTAAAACGACCAATAGTGACCAAAGGGCTAAAACGGCCACTAGTGGCCTAATTTCGAAAATAGCCACTAGTGACCAAATTGCCAAAATGGCCACTACCGGCCAAAGTGCCAAAATGGCCACTACTGGCCAAAAGGTCAAAACGGCCACTAGTCGCCAAAAGGCTTAAACGGCCTCTAGTGGCCTAATGTCAAAATGGCGGCCACTAGTGGCCAAATTGCCAAAAGGCCACTGGTGGCCAATCTGCAAAAGTAGACACTGGTGGCCAAATTGCCAAAACGGCCACTAAGGTTCAAATTGCCTAAATAGCCACTACTGGCAAAATTGCCAAAACGGTCACTACTGGCCAAATTGCCAAAATGGCTTTTAGAGGCTTTTTCCCGAGACGGCTACTTGTGGCCAAATTGCTAAAACCGCCACTTAGTGGCCAATTTGCCAAAACGACCACTTCTGGCCAAAATTGTCAACTGCTTCGAACGGCCAAATTGCCAAAAGTGCCACTAATGGCCCGATCGCCAAAACGGCCACTTGTGGGCAAACTGCCAAAATGGCCACTAGTGGCAAAATTGTCAAAACGGTCACTACTGGCCGCTACTTACCGAAACGGCCACTAGTGGCCAAATTACCAAAATGGCCACTCTTGACCAAATTGCCAAAACGGCCATTAGCAGCCAAACTGCCAAAACAGGCGGTAGTGGCCAGAAGGCTCAAACGGGCACTAAAGGCCAATTTTCAAAGACGGCCAGTGGTAGCCAGATTGCCAAAACGGCCACTAGTGGCCAAATTGCCAAAATGGCCACAAGTGGCGAATTGAAATACCCAAAGGGCCATTAGTGGCCAAAAGGCTAAAACGGCTTCTAGTAGCCAAACTGTCAAAACGGCCACTGGTCACCAAAAGGCTTAGACGGCCACTAGTGGCCAAGTTGCTAAAACGGCCACTAGT